TAGCCTTGCGCCAGAGTGGCTCCAAACCCCAAACCCTAAACCCCAAACCCCTAAACCCTAAACCCCAAACCCTAAACCCTAAACCCCAAACCCCACACCCTAAAATTACGGCGCCTCGGCTTCTGCCCTTCAAGGTCTCTTCGCTTCCCCTCGGCCTCTTCGGGGCTCCCGCAGGCCCAGACGCATCGTCTGGGCCTTGGGCACCTGTTGCGGGTTTAGGGTTTAGCGGTTTAGGGGTTTAGGGTTTAGGGTTTAGGGTTTAGGGTCTAGGGGTTTCGGATTTAGGGGGGTATAAGATCCTTCAGCTATGAGGGTTTTTTAGGGTATAGAGGGCCATTTAGAGATGTAGGGTACGTACACGGTACTTGTACACTCTGTCATGGGCTTGGGGTGCAGGGTTTCGAAAAAACTCGTCAGGCCATGACCTTTATAGAGCTATGGCAACTCCCCGGAAGATGGCGCAGCTTTCAATTAAAGCAGACGGGCAAGACACGGTTGCAAAAGGAGGTTTCCGCGAATGCAGCAGCTTCGCTCTCACGCAAGTTTGTTTGGAAGTCTTACGCACTGTCGGAATCTCATGCGAGCTGTGCCTTCGTGGGGAGCTTGAGCGAGGGCAGCGCTTGAATGAACTGGGCCAACGTTCGCTGTCACAAGACGGGAAGTTTTCGACAACGGTATTGCCACTAAAAGTGCCACTAGCGAGGGGTGCTAGTTGTGATAGCTGCGACATCAACACCTGCAACATCGCATCGCTTCTTTGCTATCGTTTCTGAACAAGTTTACTGTTACTATTACTTGGATGATGATTATTCTTCGAAATTCAATGTGGCCACGTTGATGGCGATGGTGGTCTGACCTGGTCAGAGTTTGCTTCTGTGCTGGTCACTTTCCGCGCACATACAATAATTGCCAATATTATTTTGGGGGTTCCTTACTATAAATATAGCACAATGGCCCCCCAAACCATCTAATTATTAAGGCCCCTACATTAACTTCATATAGTTTCGCAGCAGCTTTTGGCCTTGAGCTCCTTGCCTTGCTCGGAGGGTTCGAGGACCCCGAGCCTAAGCCCTAAATCCACGAGGTCTTTGGGCAACACCGTGAGGGAGGGCTTCTTCGCTGCCTTGGGAAAGCATCTGCAGCTGCCCAGTTCGAAGCCCGAGGCCGGGACAATTCGCGGCTTCTGTCCGTGGCCATGAGCTTTTGGGTTGAAAGGGCAGTAGAGCTCCAGGGTTCAAGACTTCCCAATGTTTGCTTGGCCGATTGTTGGATCTTGTTGGAGCTCGGGAGTTGCCGCTTTTGGGGTTTTGGGTTCTGACGCAATATAGGGGCTTAAATTATTACCAATATAATATACCCCCAAACCCTATTCTAATTATTAAGGCCCCTATAATGTTAGTATGAAGGCACGGAGTGGAATCGAATTCATATGTATAGGGTTGCAGGATTCAGAAGGTGCACAAGGGGCTTCCGTACCCCACTCTTACACTTGCCGGCGTACATGAACCAGCCATGCCGGTATCCCGAAGCTTCTTGGGTGCCGAAAGAAAGAATGGTTGATTCGCAGAGAACCCTAATCAGTGCTTGGTCTGGCATGCAGAGACGGAGAATGGCAGGCACCTTGAAGCATCATTGACAGTTTTCCTGAAGCCGTTCAGCGCAGATAGAGATGACATACGCATTTTGAGTAACTCCTTGTTCGAACACGAAACTTTTCAATCATCATCAGGCCGCCACCTCGCCGCAGACGAGCCGGCCAAGTTCACCCCAAACACTTGCAGGCAGCTGGCGTATTGAATGGAAATTCAACTAGTAGATAGTAATAGTCGTCGCTGTCATAGTAGTAGTAGTAGTAGTAGTAGTAGTAGTAGCAGCAGCAGCAGCAGCAGGAGTAGTAGTAGTAGTAGTAGTAGTAGTAGTAGTAGTAGTAATCGTCGTCGTAGTCGTAGTCGTAGTAGTAGTAGTAGGAGGAGGAGGAGGAGTAGGAGTAGTAGGAGTAGTAGGAGTAGTAGGAGTAGTAGGAGTGGTAGGAGTGGTAGGAGTGGTAGGAAGTAGTAGTAGTAGTAGTAGTAGTAGTAGTAGTAGGAGTAGGAGTAGGAGTAGGTGCAGGAGTAGGAGTAGGAGTAGGAGTAGGAGCAGGAGTCGGAACGGCGATCTTTCGCTTCCATGAGCTGAGCACAGGCGTGTCTGCCGTGCCGGCGCAAGTTGTGGGCCAGGTCCGGGAGCTCAAGGGCTGGACTGCGGAGATGCAGGGGATAGCTTTTATAATCAGGGAAGAGGTCCTACCGGCACGGAGCCAACTAACAATAGAAGCACGAAGACTGATGGCGACAGTTGTAGCTGCTGTTCTGTTGTCGTTAAGTGAGATTCAAAGCCTCTCGAGCCCACCCGACTTAGGCAGCTCCCGTGCAGTCAGTGGGCGCAGAGGAGGCCGATCTTTTTCGTGTTCGACCACAGGAGCTGAAGGTTTGGCGATGGAATACGGAATTGGGATGTACTCGTAGGAGTTGAGCATATTCGTGTGGCGCAACAGGGACAGCTTGACCCTGTCTTGGCGCTCTGCAGCTCCCTGTCTGTGGACCGTCGCCAGGCTGATGTTGTTCTCATTGTTCTTCTGTGAAACGGTCGTATTTCCGTTCGGTTTAAAGAGTTGTAAGTTGTAAATCATAAGTTCACGGCAGCCCTGAGAGATTGACAAGGACCCCCGGTTTGACCCCTTGGGGCACCCTCTAGCCTGGATTCAATGATTGGCCTCCCCCTCCCCAGCTCCCCCTGCCCCACCTTGCTCATCCCTGCCAAGACTGCCGGCGGGTTCAGTAAAGCACTGTGACGATCGCAAGACGTTCCAGAGACCCGGCTGATCGGCCCAGCAGGCCACCCTGGTGGCCAACTTCGAAATCTTAACCTCCCCCTTCTCAGTGCAGCCCAAAACGATCATCTGAACCAGTGGGCGAAAAGAGAAGTTCATGCAACCATCCAGACGCCGTAAAGCCATGGCACCCCAAGCACAAGCTCAAGAACCGCAAGGCTAAGGCTTGTCGACACAATTCAACACAACTTGCCGGCCGACATACACAAGAGATGCCTCCCAACAGCGTATTTCCTGTCATGTTGCATGTCCAAAACTTGCCGGCTGGCACACGAAAGATGCTGCGGATGAGAAAGCCTCCCAGAAGGGTGTTTCCCGTCATATTGTATGTCCAATGCTTTTCCGGAACCTGTTCATGCATGTGCATACGGCCGTGTTCCTGTAAGCACAGATGTCACAGATAGTTAGCCCACTATGTGGTCATCATATCCTTGGCAAGAAATCACGTCTTTCAGTCAGGCCATGGCGGACGTGGACTTTGGCTTCTTTGAGGTAAGCACCACCCCAAAAGCGTTGGGCTCAGTTTGAGACGCAGCCCCGCCGTTTTCTTTGTCTTGGACAAACTAGAGTGACGCAAGTCGTCATGTCTATACATTTCACCTGTCGCAGAATATGTGCGCTGCTTTTTGTGCATGTGTACGCTGGCATGTAGCCAATTAACGTATCATGCAGCGCACACATATATACCCAGCTGCAGTATGTTTGGGAGCAATATTGACAGGCTCTTGATAATGGTAACAATCATGACAGCGATGATGACAAAACTCAGAATCATGATGCCGAGCGCAGCACGCTCCTCACTCCAATTTTTGCCCAGTCACTTGCCAGGTGCCAGCAGCAACGGCGCAGGTCTCGTCAAGCCTCTGCCCAAGCAAGACACAGCTGCGATGTCTATGCTTTGAAGTTGCTAGGGCTCTGTCTCGACATGGCTAGCTAGCGCATAGGCAGTTAACCTAGCAATATGCGTATGATGACAATCGCGCTGCAGATGTTCAGAGGTGTTGACATGAACAGTGTCATTCGCTTCTTTTCCACCAGCTCCAATGATGATGATGATGATGATGATGAGGATAAGGATGATGATAAGGATGAGGATGTTGATTGTGAGAAGGGTGGTGGTGGATGTGGTAGAGGTGGTAGAGATGATGAGATGGTGATGGTGATGCTGATGATGATGATGATGATGACGGTGAAAATGACGATGACGATGATGATGATGATGGTGACGATGATGATGATGATGATGATGATGCTGATGATGAAGATGACGATGATGATGAGGAGGAGGATGATCATGATGACAGTGATGAAACAGACGATGCTGATATGACAGTGAGTGTGGTGAACATTAGGATGCGGGTGACCGTTGGGACGATGATGGTCTGGTAGTGATAGTCGCTGGCAATGGTTTGTGGATTCAATCTTGGCATGTTGTTGCGACAGTTTTTTCCCGGTATTTCGTGTGAAAGCAGCAGAGAACATGTTGTTGCTCACATGCTCGAAATTGCACTTGCTGGACTTCCAACGGTAGCCCACTTAGCATTGTTTCGTTACAAACTAGGCGAGTTCCCTCCTACGTGCTCGTGGGCTGGTGCAGTTGTCACCTTTGCAGTTTCTACCTGTCGTCTATCTGTCTGCTTGTATACATACGGTGACATATGTGCGTGTATATACCATACACAGATCGGAGGGTTCCATCTGAACGTCGGGAAGCGGCGACCCTTGTATGCTAGCCTGCGCTTCGCCCAAAAGGGCCGAAAGCGGCAAGGACAACAGACTGAGAGCGCATGCGGGCAGGAGTGTTCGACCTTCTGAAGGCAGAGACAGAGAGAGATAGAAAGAGCGTTGTTCGTGAATCTCGCTCTCCCAGGCAGGCAGGGTCAGCAAGACCAAGCCGACTTAAACGCTCACGCCACGTGCAGAGCGAGGGGGAAACCCCCTCTCTTTACCAGAGAAAGAGAGAGCATGCGCTTCTGCATGCTGCCTCCCAAAACACTATAGCAACGCCAAGCTTCAAGCCCTGAACCCCATGATCCAAGACCTTTGAGGCCTTGATGCAGACGTGCTCTCGCAGGCTGCAAGCTTCAACTTGCAACGACCAGGGATGATCAGGGGTGAAGTAGCCAGTGCCGTGCTTCCGTTCCTACTCTTCGCATTTTGCGTATGAGGGGCTGCGCAATCTTGCCATCGCAGGCACTCTCCTCTGTCGGTCTGCAGAACACCGCAGCCACGTCCACAGTCACTATGACACCCGACATCGCGCTCACTGCAGACGTAGGCCGGGATTTATGGCGCTTATTTGCTACTTACTTGGGTAGCTGAAGCTGCAGGATTGGTCCACCTAGCAATGAGAAGGCACTTGGGGTCCTCACGTCATTGGTCTGCGACTGTCAGGAGCCATTGACAGAACTCCTTGGGAATAGAGCCTCGCTAGATTCAGTGTGTCGCCAAATCTTGTCTGACATTCGTGTTGCTCTTCATGCTCTCCCCCTCTTCGGCAATCGTTGCCTTGCACTTGCGTGGCATCTATCACAGCTATATCCTGTTTCCGCGTGTGACCTGACTGGCGCAGCGGTATTTACAAGGCATGAGCCGTAAGTATGATCATTTCTCAATCCCACCACGGCTTCAGCCCCGAACCCGCTAGGACTAACGGATAGCGGAGATCTTCTCCAGGGTTTCTTAGCCTGGGATTCCTCCGGTAAGCCCTGCATCGCCCTTGCCGTCATAGTCCGAGAATCTGCTCCCCGACTGCTGCCAGGAGTCCCCCAGGTCAAGAAGAAGAAGAAGGGCATGACGCAAAAGGCCCGAGGGTTTGGGCTTCTTAACACTGAAGTCCAAAGCCAAGTGTTGTTATAGGAGCCTTATTCATTAGTTTGGGGTTTGGGGCCCATATTAATCTATACTTTAATAAGGAGCCCCCCCCCCCAAAAAAAAATAGTAGGTTTGGCTTGAGATGATGATGATGATGATAAAGGGTTCAGGATGGCAGGCCTAGCTGCCTAATGCTCGGGGTGTTGGCCGAGATGAGTTCATGCGTTGAAGACGGAGTGGAGTCGCCTTTGGAGTCAGAAATTTCGCTGCATGATCAGTATGGTTGCTATATTGGAGCACGTACGCGTACATGTCTACATACAGACAAAAATGCATACATTATACATTCATACATACGCACATACATACGCATCTTATGCGGGCAGGCAGGCAGACAGATCGACAGACATACTTACCTGCATGTCACAAAGAAAGCATGCATACATACGTACATACATACATACATACATACATACAGACATGCGTACACACCAGCATATGAGCGCGCACACACACGCACACGCGCGCGCACACACCCGTCCATTGCATGCATACATGCATGCAGGCATACCTTCACATATGCGTACATGCATACATAGGTACCAACGTACATACTTACCCATACCCATGTGTATAACAGTGTACATGCATGCATGCATACACTGCAGAGAGACAGAGAGACAGACAGAC